GAGGGGTTCCTCTTTCCTATTGATTTCAGGTAGCCTCTTGTGGTCTATATTGTCACTACTTGTACTGCTCCTGCCTTAAACTTGGCTTGTTCTTATCTGCGCGTCGAAATCGTGGCTCTTGCTGGCTCACACGAGAAAATTCACACCGTTTGGCTTGTATTGTACTACCGATTGACTCTATCGGTCGACTCGAAGCCTTCTTACTTGTTTAGATACTTGTAGTGTTTTAGATAGACTACTGGAGCAGTTTCATATGGCTCGAGAGTCTTCTTCTTGAGTTTACACTGCGTCGAGTACTGTCGGGCTGTTGGAATCCCTGGGCTTCAGCACTGCTTGGCTCGTTCGGTCGTATCTTCTCAATTTTCGGATTTGAGAGCTTGCACTTGTCGTGGCATAGGCGGCAATAGTTCCTCTTTCGATCTCTGTATGCGGCCGTAGCTGTATCTCTCTTGTTTCGGTCGTCTGGTGTTCGTTCGGCGCGATCGGCTTTTGCTCTGTAGGTTGGGTACCCAAAACACGCGATCGGCGATTACTCCTTCAATTCTTGACGTATGACCTTGGTTCAAGCATCAATATGGTACCGGCTAGCTGTGCTCTCGTACGGCTGATGTGCTTGGTTGCTCTAATCGGTCGACAAGTCGATCGGCCGATGCTCCGAGAGATTGGTAATGAGTGAGTGAAAATGTGAGGCTAATTTTCTCTGTTGGAGCCCACAGGCACCTCTGATAGTGAGGCTAGCCACTGTAATTCGCACCTCTAGTTCATTCCTCGGTTACTCTATCTTTTTGGTCTTTACCATGGGCAAACTCAATACAAACAATCCAAAAGCTTTTTCTTCACAGTGTTGGGTCTAATAACACTGCAGCTACTAATAATATCAAGGTTAATTTTGTTGATTTGGGGCTGAGCTGGAAGAAAAAGTGATCTTTCTGGCTGGTGTTTAAATCTGGATTCTGATAATGCCAGTTTCCTTAAATTCCTACGGTGGTGCGGTCTTTTTCTTATCCGGGTCCGCTAAATCTAGAACCGGCCAACATTTTTTTTCTTAGGTTGGTGGTGTAATTCTCCCCATTGGGGGCCGATACTTGGTCCATAGTAGCCATCTCCAATAGATGGAGAGGAGGCTCAACATCCATAAGGCGAAACATGCAGTTGGAGATGGATAACCAGAGGTCCCTCAACATCACCCAACAAGCTCTGTTCCAAACTGCCTGGTTCTGAATCGGTCCTTCCCAGCCTTTATCTCAGGGCTGGGCTTGAGTGATAACACAGGTGTTCTAGGAATAGAGCCATGGGATAGTATGCCATGGAGGGGAGGTGCATTGCAAGGATCAAGGGCAGCTTGCTTTGATGCCTCTGTCAATGCCGATGTCAGCTGCTCAAGTTGTTGGCTGATCATTGTTGTTGTTGTGTCATGGTTGGCTAGATTGGAGGAAGCCAAGCTGGAGGTGGCACTGTGGTGTGGTGGTAACAAACAGCCTGGGGGGTCCACAGGTGTTCTGGCAGGAGCTGGAACTGGAGCTTGTGCCTCTGCAGTAGTGGATCTGTTGGTGTTGTCCTGTGTGTTGGTGCCAATGGATGCTAGTGATATGGTGTCACTGGCATCCATTTCCTGCTGTTGCTTCTTCTTCTTGCGGCCCATGATGATTGGTGCGCTGGCTAGACAGTGCAGTAGTGTAGTGGTAGTGTAGTGGTGTTGCCTGTTCCTTGGAAGGGTACCGGTTGGATGAGTATTGTTGGTGTTGGTGTGTGTATGTGTGGCTGGAGAGGCACTGCACAAACACAAGCACAGAAAATCCAAAAGGTGACTTGAAGCCTTACACTGTTGGTGGATGACTAATTGAAGGCTGCTTGACACACTGATGCCCTTGGAATACTCTGAAACAGACCGAAAGGTGTTGCCATGGAGCTCCAAGTTACTCTGATAGACTTGATATATCTCGTACGGAGCGACGTATCGATCTTCGTGGCTTTCCGGGTTCCTTGAGTCAAGTTCGCGTTTCAATCGAAAATGTGAGGATCGTAGCGGATCTTCGTGTCGGCTTGCTTTCGGAACAGAGGTTCGTCACGTACGTCACTCGGAAGTCAAAAGAGGTACGTCTTGTGAGTCCCTTGTGAGTACCGGTTCGTTTGCCAGTATCCTCCTTGGAAGCACGACTGGAGATTTCCGTAAGGAAAATCGCGAAAAATCGACAATGGCACTTCTTCCGCTATCGGCCGTCTGAACTAGGCCGATTAATAAGAAGGTGGCTGGTGTATCTTGTCAAGCACCCTTTGGTTGATAGGTGACCGGCTTGGTTTGGGCTCAATCGGTCGCGATTCCAGTTTTCGGCACGTCGGCAGATACGTCGCGAGTTTTCTTGTCGCTCCTACTCTTCCACTCTTCCACTCTTCTTCCGCACTGCTTGTAGCCACTCTTGTGTGTCTATGCGAAAATGTTAATCCTATGAATCTCCGCCAGGGAGCTCAGTTGTAGGAACACAAGAGCTGGGAGGGAGATCTCTGGTTGATGAAGATCTCCTCCACTGGCTGAAAGGCCAGCTCAAAAGAGCTGGATCAATGCTACCCAATCACTACTTCAAAGTACTTGGGGAGCTGGTTACATTGCCCTAGCACATACCATACAGGAATCTATCTACTGCAGGGCTGAGGGTGCTACTGGGTCTCAGGGGTTACTCTTTCATTACTATCTTTCTTAACTATAAGCTAAAAACACCATTACCACGATTTCACTCCAGTTGACAGAACTGGCTCTTTTGGAGAGGATATCCTACTGTTGGAGATCCTAGGAGAGGACTGTTGGTCTGGAACATTCCATTGTATCTAGACTGAAGGCTATATGCTCTGGAACACATAGACATGCCTCAGCTATATACAAATTGTCACATGGCTGCAATGCTGTGTGTACTGATTGACTGTACACGATCAAAAGCATTGTTTCCATCCGACTAAACCAGCACAGCTGTGGCGCACCCATAGAGGCTCCTATTGCTAATTTCATCTGATGAATTGAGCAGTCACTCTCTGGCTGAAACAGACGGCATTACTAATGCTAAAGATCCAACATGTGAATTGTAAGCAGTGAATGGTTAAGTCGGTTGAGCTCAATGTGAGGCCCTGGGTTCGATTCCCGGGCATTGCAATCTTTTCTCATGTTGGTCGGGGATTTCTGAGTGGTATATCTCAGGGAAATCTGATCATGGTGCAATACCCGTCAGAATGAACGGGCCCGGTAATTTGGTAAGTAGTATGTGATGAGATTGACCGCATTGCCTTGCGAGGAATGCTGGCATTGCAGGTGTTCCTGATGTCATGTGAGTTGTGCTTGCGGGGCAACTCATGGGGAGATCAATAGTTCCTACTACGAGGCAGATTCGTGACGTCTGGGGAGTGATGAATTGAGCAGTCACTCTCTGGCTGAAACAGACGGCATTACTAATGCTAAAAATCCAACATGTGAATTGTAAGCAGTGAATGGTTAAGTCGGTTGAGCTCAATGTGAGGCCCTGGGTTCGATTCCCGGGCATTGCAATCTTTTCTCATGTTGGTCGGGGATTTCTGAGTGGTATATCTCAGGGAAATCTGATCAGGAAGGATCGACAACAAAAGAACTGCAGAACCGACAGCCAAGCAGATCACACAAGGCAAGTCAAAGGGCAGTTCAGTTGTGCGTTCCTGCTGGGTCTGTCGCGGCTTCATGGACAAGAATGGAAATCCAATCAGCATACAGACGCAGTGGTGGTGTAAACAGTGTCAGATGACTGTTTATGCAAGACAGGAGCAACGACAAAAAATTTGGGCCAGATGGCAAGGGCCACAGCTGCCTCGACCCTCACTGTGAATCAGAACCAGCCTTCATCTTTGGCTGCAACGAGGTCATGGAATACAACGCTGTCTTCCCTGCTGACCAGCGCAAGGACTTGTGGCCAAGAAGAGGCAAGAGGAAGCAAAATTCTTAGAAGCGACGGCAGCATCCCCATGGTCGCATTTTTTCACGTAGTAACAACATGTAATAGTATTCGTTATAGTATCCCACTTTGCCTTGTTGTAACTATTGACAAGAATGTTTCGACCATATGAACAAAGATATCTATGAGTATCTACATGTTCTGCTCTTTCTTGTGGTTACCTCCGATCCAGAATCCGAGGTTCATGGAATTAGTTACAAGCGATTCAATATTGGGTCCCGGAATTTCGTCTTCGTAGAGACGACTTGGTTGGGTTTCCAAGGGGCAAGTGGTGCTTTAGGCACGCGTGCTACTGTGGACAATTGTATTGAAATTAGATGATGCAACGACACGGTGGACACCAACGGTCCATGATACACATAAGAAGACTTAATGTCACTCATTGAAGTTTCCTCTTTCTTATAACGGTTCGATACATGTACCATTCGATTCGATTCATCTTTCCGTTGGATTGATCATTCGTTTGAACGATCGAAGATTCGATTCGATTCGATTCGATTCCATGATCAAAAGGTACAAGAGCAGTGCAAGCTGATTGCCTGGAATGCTCGAGGGGGAGGCGAGCTTGCGAGCCGAGCCCGAGGCAAGCTGTCAATTTAAAAAGTACAAGAGCAGTGCAAGCTGATTGCCTGGAATGCTCGAGGGGGAGGCGAGCTTGCAAGCCCTGTCAATTTATAAAGTACAAGAGCAGTGTATAGATCTGGGATTGCCTGGAATGCTCGAAGGGGGAGGCGAGCTTGCGAGCGAGCCCGAGGCAAGCTGTCAAAATTTAAAAAGTACAAGGGCAGTGCAAGCTGATTACCTGGAATGCTCGAGGGGGAGGCAGCTTGCGAGCCGAGCCCGAGGCAAGCTGTCAATTTAAAAAGTACAAGGCAGTGCAAGCTGATTGCCTGGAATGCTCGAGGGGGAGGCAAGCTTGCGAGCCGAGCCCGAGGCAATCTGTCAATTTAAAAAGTACAAGAGCAGTGCAAGCTGATTGCCTGGAATGCTCGAGGGGGGGGAGCTTGCGAGCGAGCCGAGGCAACTGTCAATTTAAAAGTACAAGAGCAGTGCAAGCTGATTGCCTGGAATGCTCGAGGGGGGGGTGAGCTTGCGAGCCGAGCCGGAGGCAAGCTGTCAATTTAAAAGGTACAAGAGTAGTGCAAAGCTGTCATTTTTAAGGTATAATACCGGAGGTCTACAGTAACTACGTGTTGCCGTTGTGCGTGGAGACGACCTAGAAGGCTCTTAATACTATATAGTATTATAGTATTCCTACGAAAGATCACTAGATGTTCAACCGACTCGCCACGAATTCTCCTTACACCCCGGGCTACGGCTAGCACTTGATTGTTGTTGTTGTTGTTGTTGTTGTTGTTGTTGTTGTTGTTGTTGTTGTTGTTGTTGTTGTTGTTGTTGTTGTTGTTGTTGTTGTTGTTGTTGTATTGCATTGTCACATTCACGTACGGGTGTGTTTAGGAAGCTTGCCATCCGCCGACGCAAGTATTCACTGCCAAAGGAACTTCAGCGTTCGTCGACTTGCTTCCAGAGCGACCCTGACTCTCCACTGCGGCATACACACTCTCCTTGGAGGCAGGTTTTTTCTGACTGCAGGTGGTTCAAATAAAGGTATGTACGGTGCGTCACAGCGTTGGTAAAAAACAAAAGGTAGGTTGTTGAAGATAGCGATGCACAACTCAAAAGGTAGGTTGTTGCTGCTAGCTAGCGATGCACTCCTGACATTTAGTAGGGCTAAAGAATCAAAGTGTATTCCTGACAGTACGTGACTCTGCACGCAGTGCCGACTCCTTTACTGCTAGCTCAGAGAAGATTGGTATGTTGTCAAATAGTTGTCCATACGTCAGTCCTGGCCGCAGCGAAGATGGTGTGGTACGCGATCGTAGCACTCAAAGGTAAAGGTTGGTTTCTGTCGTGATGTGATGCACAACAGTCCACCATATTTTCTTTCCGTCAAACCTGGAGGTGGATTCGAACAAGGGCAATGACATGTAAGGGCAAAGAAGTTCTACATTCCCATTGATGGTCGTTAAGTGCCTTCTCCATGTGACATTGTGGCGGTGCCCAAACGATTGTCTGGGATCCAGCTGGCTTTCAGGAAGGCAACAGTCTGGATGTCTACACCAAACAGTTCATCTACGTAACAGCAGAATATCTAGCGCCTTTTGAGTCCGGCTGGCCGGTATATATATATGTTCCCGTCCTGGACCATGACAGCTATACCACCATTCACACCATATAAACACGGCAAATTACTACTCGGCAACAAATATGGTGACACCTCTGCAAACACCTGCAACAAGTCGCGTTTGGTTGTCGCCGACGCTTGGAGCCGCTGAACGTGGTGGCGCTGCAATAATCCTAGTTTTACCCACGCCACCAGTACTCTTCCAAATCGCGCTAATGAGTCGCCTCCTCCTTGCTCTTTTCATGCAATAATGGTCACAGTCAAAACCACAATGGACGTGGAGTGGAAAGACAACAACTACCATCTCGAAGAAACCTAGTTTGGTCCCAGCCGGCAACAAGGCCCACACTGTGGCCAACGCTACGATCTATCTTTGTACGATGACAACAACGTTCAAGAACCCGTTTGGATTTCTGACCCTACAGCCATGATCTTTAGTTGCCAACAAGAACGATCATGGAACTCTACCGTCAAGAGTGGGGCTGGGAGATAGACCGGGTAGCTTTTGGTGTGGAATCTGGAAGGTGTTTGTCCAGTTGTGGATCTAAGTGTGGGGCCTGACGCGGGTGCGAGTATTGGGTCAGGTGTTGTGCTTATTGAGATTGCTGTTGTGTGTTGATTCCGTGGACAGTAGTGGATTTTCCGTCGTGGTTGACCACAGGTGGCTCCTTGGGGATGTTTGTTGGTTTCTTTCCCTGGTCAGAATATGGATCTTTCATGGCACTGTTGGCAATGAAGAGAGTGTCGTGAAATCACATTGATTGTTGGGTTTTCCACGTTCATTGTGGTTGCTCACTGGAGTAGTAGCACCAGCGCAATTATTGCCATCAAGTTTTGTGCTGACTTGAATCATAGCAGGGTCGACGAAGCTGAAATTGTTGTTGTTGCTTGGGACTTCTGTCATGGTCGAGGTTTTACGCCTTGTTGGAGTAGTAGCGTCATCGTCATAGTAGGTGTTGATTGCATACATGTATGAGACTAGAGTTGTTTGTTGTTGTTGTTGTTGTGTGTTGTTGTTGTTTGTTGTTGTTGTTGTTGTTGTTGTTGTTGTTGTTGTTGTTGTTGTTGTTATCCACAATGGCGACAATGGCATGCTACTAATCGCCGTCCTTCTATCCTTCCACTACCGACGCTCCTTCCTGTACGGACGCTCCTTCCTCTACCGACCCTACCTGTACGGACGCTCCTTCCTCTACCGACGCTCCTTCCTCTACCGATACAACACAACAACAACAACTACTAAAACAACAACTTGCTGGGCTATTTTGTCTTGAAGTCAGCGCCTACGTGGGTAGGGGCAAGGCTCTTGGCAACAACAGTAGCTCACACGAAACTCGCCACTACACGAAACTCACCACTACACGAAACTCGCCAATTCAGATCGAAACAGCGCGACAATGAGGATCGCAACTACTTCTTCCTTCTCAAAGTAGCTGCTTAGTGTAAACAGATACCCATTGAATGAGCTGAGGGCCACAAGGAATGGATTCACTTGCAAGTACATTATTGTGGAAGAACAAGAGCCCCACCTCACCAACTATCAGAAGTTTCATTGTTGGCCCACAAATGAAGTGCCGGATCTTGAGGAGTTGATATACCAAGGAGGATGCAAGCCTCTTCCTCCTGACATGACAAGCATCATGGATTACATGTTTGAGTGGGGTCTTCAGAAGAGTCCAAAATGGTACCACCATGTTCTCTCCACCCTTTCTGGAATGCTGGATGGGCCAGAAGCATGTCAAAGGAAGGACATCTTCATTGAGTGCATCTATTGGTTAATGAGGGAAACGATTGCCAAGAGCTATGACTTCTACTCCAATGAAGGACAGATTGTGATGGATGCTTGGCATGGGTATTGTTCGCACTGGTATGACTACAACAACCAAATCTCCTTCAAGATATTGACTTTGATGAGTGAGACTTTTGTTGATGATTGCATTGAAGACATTCACAACCTTGGATTCTTGCAACCACACCATGCTGTCCATTGTGGAACTTTACTGTAAGTTAATGGCTATCATAGAAATGAATTTGATGCATCTAAATCTTAGTTGTTTTTGTTATCCACCATATCCAGTGAATCTAGATTGGCAATGAGCATCATGGGGTGGTCTTCCTCTCCTGTTAGTCAACCACTGGCAGTATCTGTGACAGCAGCCATTCGGTGGAGGAGGTTGCTGGAAAGGAGATGGCAGTATTTGTTGGAATTGCCTCATTTGCATGCGAGTGGCATTTTTTCATTTGGGAAATTTTTTTCTTTGGTTTTGGAAATTGAAGCATGTTACTCATGTATTGTTTGTTGTTTGTGCCACAGCTGCTTGGGCTGCTGCTGCTGTGTGTGGGTGTGGTGTGGTGGTGGTGGTGGTGCAATGGCCTCTGTTTCCATCGGTGTTTGTACTGTTGGTGGTCCACGATGCTGGACTGTTGGTGCTTCTACTGGTGGTTGTGGTTCTGTACAAGCCACAACACAAACAACAATCATTTGGTGCATACTTCTGCCGCTGTGGTTTGAATGAACAATGAACTCTGAAAAAACCTCTCTCCATTATCCTGTGGCAATGGCTCTTGCAGTAGGAAATGGTTCATTGAGACCCACAGCCACTGCTAGCTCATTAGGTAAGCCAACTCCTGAATGGTTCCAGTATGGAACAAACTTTTCCCATCCAGCTGGAATTGACTCCTTTCTTCCAGACTGATTCTTGACAGGAAGGCTCTCTTGTGTCGAATATTGAGATTGTATCTTGCTGGAACAGCAAGGTTGAGGGCATCTGCTAGACTTCTTCTCATGCCACTATTGGCGAAATGGGCAACTTGTA